CATGACATGCATAGGACATCCGAAACGCTCCAAAGCCTCGTAAAAAGGAGCTTGCTGAACCTACACGAATGGGCCAGTGACCATCCAAAACCTCTAGGAAGAGGAAGCAGCCCGTGGAGGGCCCAGGGAAAGGCAACCCGATTTTCTTGACACTGCCCTTGGTCAAAACTCTGAAATGTTGAGTAGAAAGCTACACGCAAAAAGAGATCCTAATGTTATGCTGTATTGGGGACAAAAGCGTCCACATCAAAACCTACTCACCTGATGCCGTACCAGTTGTTCTCTGGCAAGGACGCCTCCGAAACCCCAAACCATACACCCAAGAAGATGCCGTTGAAGGTCTACCCTCCCCCCAGACGAGTAGTACTAGTAGTACCAGTAGCAGTCGTTGAAATATTCATATCAATGGTAATCCAAATAGTAAATGTAAGGGTGACATGCGATTTTAATTGAGACTGAGTTCCATGCTAACTTGCCCAAGGATTTTTCCCAAGAAATTCCAAGGCCTGCCAGAAATCAATCTGCTCTACCTATATATGAAACCCCAGTAGTATAAAGGACCCAGGGACTTCAGGAGCAGAATCTCAGAACCTCGATTATGTTGTTTTTTCACTATGTGGGTCTCTAGGAGCGTTGCCATTCAAACGGGCTTTTAAGGCATTGTAGTTGTCTCCTTCAGGATGGTGCAGGAACAGGTCTCAGAAATCTCTCTGCTGTTTTGGGTCTATGGCCTGGGAATCCGTTAACATTCATGGCCTAGACCCTCCTTCTACCCTCTATATACCCCAAATTGGGACCATATACCCACATCTTAAGGGTACAAGGAGGGTCCTGGGGGTTCCGTCTTCGGATTTTAGTGGCCAGGGCTTCGAAATTGAGATTGTCGACTGGCGGTTTCTTCTGGGTTGAGACTGTCAGGCAGCCCAGAGCCTAAATCCAGGGGGTTTAGGGTGTAGGGGTTTAGAGTTTAGGGTTTAGGGTTTAGGGGTTTAGGGTTTAGGGTTTACGGCTTGGTTCAAGCTTTGTTGCATTTAGAACGGGACCCTTAACTCCAAGCCTCGCACTTTTCATTCTCAGCCCTTCCTAGTTGATCTTTCCAGTTGCCCATTAATCCCGATGATACGGTAGTTCTCCTTGACTTTCCAGTTTTACACCCTAAAACAGGAATTTGTTCCATTGTTTTCTCCTTCCCCAGTGATACCCTGCCTTGAACCCTAAACCCAGATCCCAAAAGTCGGAGGTGCTGTGTGGCTAAAGGTTTTTTTGGAGCGTCCGCTGTTGGGGCTTATTGTTCTGAGGAAGAGAATACTATGAGTTGTTTTGTTACTTATTCATCCTCAGTATCATCCCTGAATAACTCCCCTATACAAAGTCAAGGGGGAACTAGGAGAGTGTTGGCAACTGGTGCGAATATCGGCAACCTATACTCCTAAACCTGATATTCCACCAAGGGACGCCCTGCTGCGTCTGAGAGCGATTCTCCAGACGTTCTAGAGATTGCGGCTTCAGCTTCTCAGGATTGCTGAATTGACCCTAAGAGATACATCAATGTGGACTTCCAGGGCCCGCGTCCAAGCTAATTGCGTACTTGGAATAATAGATTGTGCATTCTAGATATTTTGAACCCCGAGCTTAGGGTATGGAAAGAACCTAAGGTTTCCAAGGAGGTATCTAGGGCATGCGAAAATGAATTGTCTCTTGGCCTTGGGAAGGAGGCTTTGAATTGTTGTTCTTGGCCGCTTCCGCGGCAGCGAAATCACGCGGGGCCTACTTACCAAAGGCACATACAGAAAGTAGGTCCAAGTTCATCAAACAACTTGTCAGTTCTTCGTGAGTGGATCAGGTTGTGAGAGCTGCCCCTAAGCACTCAACTGCAAGCTTTGCAAAGAGACTCTTAATGTAAATAGGTTCATTATGTTTTTAAAATAATCTTTTGACGTCGAGGGTGACATATAGAGCATTTGCGTGGGTGTGTAAGACAGTTTGTGGACGTTTAATGTAGGCGACAGACAAAGGCGCCGCCAACGCAGAAGGATGGAAGCCACGCTTATAAACGCCTAAGTTCGAATTCAGCCTTCGCCATTTTTTGCAGTACCCCCTGGGCTCCTAAGCAGCTTTTGCTCGAGGATTCAAATCCTCGTGGGCATTGGGATGTTTAGGGGCAAAATTTGGGGTTCAGGGATGGAAACTTTTCGCCAAGATAGGGGAAACCCAAGTTTATAGCCACGTAGTGTTCTATCTGCTCTTAGATTAACAGCTTAGGGATAAACACTACGTAGCTTTTTGCAACGTCTGTATCTAGGGTTTTGCTCGAGATTGTACCCCCAAAGACACACCTACGGTCCAGAGAGGACGTTCGAAGAAAGTAGTGCCTAGAGCTACCGATGCTTTGTCGTAAGGTGTTGTACTCAACATGCAGGTTGGGTTCCTTGTTAGTGCACACCGGAAGGAAGCTGCAAGCAAAGCTTCCTACCTTCAGGCTCCATGTGAAAAACATACACCCTTACTCCCATGCTGCACTCCAACATTACTTTCGCATAGTGCGTGGGCTGAAATATCATTCTGGCAATCTCCGGAATGGTTTCGAATTTTCTTCTGTTGCTGCCGCACCAAGTACCGGGTATGGCAATGTGTTGTACTCTTACATACCTCATCACTTCTTCAGAGGCTTGTCCTACGCTGATAGGCAGCGTGACAGCTCCAACAAGAGCTGTCCATCGCGGATTGTCCAGCGCTCACGAAAATAAAAACATAATAACTCATTATAGTAGTTTCCATTTTATTTTCCATTATCCCAATATAAGCCAAATATATCCCCTATATAACCCCAATATAACCTTTATATAACTGAAACAGGCCACTGCTTCAACAGCTAGCCTTGAAGGCCCAAGATCCGAAAAATCGCACAACTTGCCAAAACATGTACTCCTAGTACTTCTGCCAAAGCCCAAGTATCATCAGCACACGCAATAACAGTTCGAGTAAGCTGTTGCTTCAAGGAAAAAGGTGTAGGGTTGGAGTTCAGTGGGTTAAGTGTTCAGTGGGTTTAGGGTTTCTTGTCGTTACGGTCTTGTAAATGGGACCTAGGGGTAAAAGGTGTGGGAAGTAAGGCTTAGGGGTTGTCAGTTTGAACGACTGGATCAGCATGATAAGGTGAGCGAGCGAGTGGGTGAGTGAGAAAAATTGTTGCTGCTGCTAAGTTACCATAATGTGGAGTCAAAGGGAAATGGAAACTAAGTTTGTATGGCTCCGTAAGAAATCCAATAACTTGGATGAAGTTGCCATGATATGGGCATGTCGTAGAGAAGATCACTGCCCATGACGGTAGTTTGTAGCTTCAAGTTCAAGAAGAGGAGCCAGGGAAACGACTTGTCTCCGCAGGAAGTATGAAGTCACCGTGTCGACATGTAAGTTTCCCAACAACTGTTCCATGTGCCCCGGGGTAGACATTGTTGAGAAGCTCCCATTGGAGTTGAACACAGCTGAAACTTTAGAAGCGAGAGTACGAAAGCTAAAGGAAAGACTGCCAAGGTTGTCGGCGTCGTTTTGAACCCCCCGCCTCCAAGCCTCATGGTTTAAAGTTGCATCCTACACTCACTAAGGGTCCAAGTACTCAATAATCACATGCTCCCCGAAAACCCGTTCTAGAACAACTACTACCCATATTCCAAGTACTTCATCATTGGGTATTCGGACTCTTAGGGTTATAAACCTCAAGCTTAAAAAGTACCCAAAGCATACGCTGAGCCAAGCAACGCCTGCCCGATTCACATATCTGAGCCGGCAAGAGGACGCCATGCGTCGGTCCCTGCTTTTCTCGGTCATAGTAGGGTCCCCGGGAATACGGGAATAGACGTTATAGCGGTTATGTTTAGGGATCATGTTCCCTTCTTCCCTGCTAAGAACCAGTATGGTTGAGGGTTCAGGATTAAGGGTCTCCCTGGCGCTCTAGGTCTCAAGATAACACCTCCATTGCTCTAAGGTTCATAAATCTCTACAGCCTTGACTGCAATCTGGATGTGCCTTTGAACCCTAAAGGTCCTAGCAACAAATAGTCATATGCCGACCCAACACCTATAGTCCCCCTTAAGTAGATAGAATATGGGGTATATGGAGATTTTAGCATAATATTACCGAAGTCATGTTCTATCTACTTAAGGGGGACTATATACTACAAATGGTAAGTGCCCAAGTATGTAAATTATTGAGTACTTGTACTATTAGGGGAATAGTTGGGTTGTGCTTCGTGAGGGCGACCCCTTGTCTCCTGGTAGTGCCCCCTGCACTCCTAGAAACTCCTAGAAGCCCCATGGGTACCCTATCTTCAGAAACTGCATGAACTCATCCGCGGACAATTCCACTTTAGGTTCAGCCTTCAGCCAACCCTAAGCCATTAACCCTAAACACTATAAACATAATAAACCCTAAACCAAAAATCCTGAACCCTGAACCCGAAAGCCCTGAACCTTAAACCCTAAACCCAGTTGAATAAGGGCTTGAGGGAACCCAAGCTATAACCAGGCATTTCACTACACCCCCTTGTATATAGTTTCAATCGTCGATGCGCGCTGTGTGTTTCATAATATACCTATCCAGTAATCAAGGAAAATCTCTTCGCCGAAGCTTCCAGCATCATCAAGCAAGCTACAGCCCGCCAAATCCCCGAACGCGCCACCCTAATCCCCATACCCAAGTAATCTTTCGACCTCCTTCAATTGAAATGGTAATTTCCCAAAATGAAGGAACCCCAATATAGACCCCAATATACTATGGTCCTTATTATGGGGACCCCCAAAAAGGTACCCCTAATCTGAGGAAACCCTCATCCCTATAATCCCCTGTATAATCCCAGTTTCCATTTCATTTTCCATGTTCTTTTCCATTTGATTCTCCATTATAGTACCCTCAACCCTAATCCCTAAACCCCATATATTCGCTATATACCCCCTATAAACCCCTAATTTTAGGAAACCCCCAAATCTTGCGTACGCCTTGAAGCCATGGCAGCGGAAAGCAAGGCGCGAAAGCGCCAGATAGCCGGCACCAGCCCAAACGACCAGGAGACTGATGGCTAAGCGCTAGGTTTAGCGTTTAGGGTTTGGGGTTTTGGGGTTTCGGGTTTAGGGTTTAGGGGTTAGGATTAAGGGTTTTAGGGCTTTGGAAAACTTCTGAGTCCCTGGTGAAGAGAAAGTTGGGACTGTTACTGGGAGCTCTAAAAAGGCCGGCCGCATGTGGGATTTACGCTTCTTTTGGAGCTTCACATTCTAAACCTTAAACCAAAAACACCACGACCTGGCCATAGGACCAGCAAAGCCCTCCGGGCAATGTTTGGCAAATTGGACGCTTTCGCATCAACTTGGGTCGTATACCAGAGTTTCTGATGCTCCTGCTGCTTGCCTTCGTGGTGGCGTGCATCCCGGCCGCACTGTCTGAGCTTCCGGGATCTAGGTCTGAAGTTCGTGGATTTTTGGGGTTGAGGTGATACATGGTCTAAGGTTTCGAGTTTTTTGCACATGGGCCCAAAACCAGACCCGAAACGCGAAACCCCAAGCCTCAAACTCGAAACCAACAGTTAAGTTTTTGGGTGTTGGGTTTTGGTGTTTTGGGGTTTAGGGTTCAGTGGTTTAAGTTTTAGGGTTTGGGGTTTTGGAGTTTTAGGTTTTGAGTTAAGGGTTTTGGGGGTCCACTGAGCCCAATCCTCTTACGATAGGCCATGCTAGCTTTTCAGACCCTACAAAAGTGCCTTGCGCGCTCGAACTGGTGGGTGCGGGATTGCCTGGGCGTGCTGCATGCCCAATCAAATGTGATTTCCCCAGTGGCCTTGGGAAAGCGTTGATTGATATCACTTTGGCTTGAAACAGTCGATATGGGGGTGAGGGTAGTGCAATTACTTATGATCTCCTTATTGACTCCATTGAGTCTTTTGTTGGTTATTGAAAAACGCAACTCAACGTCAACCATGTTTGGTCAAGAGCTGAATGGACACTAAAGCATTGGGCCGGGTGTGGTTTCATGAGGTTCCTTGGGCCCAAAAGTCCTTGAGTTCTTGCATTCCAACGTGCAAATATGTTTCATGTAGCTCTTATCCGAAACCCTTAGTCTAGCCCTAAACCCTGATCCCTTTGTTCGCTCGCCCCAATCTACCTGGAGCTTCAGGAAACATTCAGGGTTGGGAATATGCTCTCTCAGAGGTAGGATAATTAATCTGATACATTGCCAGCAGGTCGACTATAAGTAGGTTCTAAGAATAACTTACTAGATCCCAAGAATCTCAATGTAAGGATTGTTTAGGGAACTGCAAACCCACATCCTATACAGCGAAATGTCAAGTCAAAAAATGAGAGAGAGAGAGAGAGAGCGAATTTTATCAAAGCTTCCACACTTTCTGTTCCCTTGGAAGCCTCTGAGTGGCTGACTAGACTTGGACTAGTCGAGGGGCTCATTTACCCATGGAAGCCCTAAATCCCCAAACCCGAAGTCATAAAGCCCTCTTGCCGTTACTCTGAAGCCTTTGATTGGGAAGTCGGTGGGTACGGCGGACCTTCCCCTTAAAATAGCCATGGCGCGGACGATGTATGCATTGCCTACAATAGCACTGTATTGAGAAGATTCTTTTGATATGGAAGGAGCCCCCATGATTTAAAACCCTGAACCCTAAACGTCTACACATAAGTATATACATAAGGATACATATACATCTCCTTCTCCATCTCCATCTCTCTCTTTCTCTCTCTCTCTCTCTCTCTCACTCTCTCTCTATTCCCTACTAACCCCCAGTAAGCTTTGGGAGCCGCACCAGTGCTTGTTTCCCAGGTGCTGCAAAGACGGGTGCAGTGAAGTGCCCCGCGGGACCCAAGGTGCATGGCAAGGGGAGTTACTTTGTGTTACGTGCGGTTTTTCGGCTTAGGGTTTAGGGCTTGGGGCTTAGACTTTTGGAGGGTTTAGGGTTCAGGGCTTAGGGGTTAGAGGGCTTTGCTTTGCATTTTGGTAGCCGTGAATCATGGAGGATCGATTCAAACAAGCTGGGATTACGTATTATAGATTTTGGTGAGTGTTTACAGGGTTCAGGGTTCCCATATGGGTCTTGTTGGACATATACTGGGTGCTCACTGGTAGGGCCCCGAGCAGAATATGTTATCTTTTGTGGCCAATGTATAGGAAAGGTGAACAGGACCCATTGCAGCTCAAATGATAGATGAAGCTACACTAAGCCCTAAACCCTAAACCCTGAATAATGCCCTAAACCTTATATACACCCTACACCCTAAACCCCAAACCCTGCCAGCTTTGAGGCATCCTGGCTCAAGTTATTATTCATAAATCAGCGTGGCAGTGCCTAAACTCCTTAAGGGTGGTTATATGAGTAATAATAGAGGGGACTATTATGGGGGTGATTAAGGGGGATAGTAGAAGTTTAGACCATAGCTCATATTGTGAGGGCCCCATGACGTGCGCAGATTGAGATGGACGAAAAGCAATGTGATTGAGGCATTACGCCACTTGAGTACTGTTCTGGCAAAGCGGGTTGCAACATGCGCCATTGGGATGGAAAAGACTGCGATTACCTGATGGCCCCCACTTGGTTGCTGGTCCTTCAGCTTAGTGATTTCTGCAACTTGTCCAGAAAATCCTGGCACGGGTTCTCACTTGGATCTAATCCACCCCAGGCAGTACCCGAAAAAAATGTCTCAAGCATTTGGAGCGGTCAGCTCATACATAGGGACTCGCCATGAGTAGCTAGGAACATCGTCTCCTTGAGTCCCGACCTTTGAATTTTCAGTCTCACAGTCATCCCAGACCCTACACCCTATATAACCCCATTACAGTAGTTTCCATTATATGCTCCATGGTCCTAATATAACCTAAACCCTAAAACCTAATCGGAACATCACATGCCCCAATGACCTAGTCTCATCCCTGGAGCTTACGTCGGAAGTGCTTGGAGGTTTTAGGGCCTTTAGGGCCTTTAGGGCTTAGTGTTGCAAATACGGGCCTTTAGGGTGTTTAGGGCCTTTAGTGTTTACGGGCTTTGTGGTCTAGGGCCTTTAGGGTCTAATTAGGGTCTAGGGCCTTTAGGGTTTAGAATTTAATGTTTAGGGAGTTGCTGGCTTGCAGGAGCTCTTTCCCGGCGTTGCCATGCGCCCAGGGGGCATCAGGGTTCTTTCCTTCGTCATTCGCTGTTTCCCGGTTCCCTTTTCGTGACTGGGAAGGTAAGCTTCTAGCACTTGTGGAGTCTGTGTGGTCCCACTATACTTTAAACAGCTGAACTTCTTCTGCGTCAGAAAAGTCAGCAAGTAAGCCCTGAATCTAGAAATTCCGGGTATGTCAGAGCCCTGAGCCCTAAACCTGACAATCAGTGCTTCCCCGGAGGCCTTCCGGCTCTATCCCACCCCAAAATCCTCAAAATCCCTAGGCACACCAGTAAGATCCAATGTTGTTCCGTTGCTTTTTTGGGGGGGAGGGGGGTAGGGCACTTTGATTGTTAAGGGGTTACTGGGGAACCTAGAGCAAACAGCTGAGCTATAGTCACTATAGTCTAAGCTCCTTCAAGGGGCGGGGTCATATAGGAGATTATACAGGGTTTGGGGTTTAGGGTTTAGGATTTAGGGTTCAGATTCTAAACTCCTTAAAGGCCGGTTATATAGGGGAGTGTTTTGGGCTTGTGAAGGGGGATACTAAGAGTGTAGACTATAAAGCCTCAAAGTGGTCCAGGGTGCTTGAGGCCCGTCGGCCTTTTTTGAAAGCTGCAAGCGTGTGGAAGGAATTGAGGACCTAGGATGCGGTCTACGCTATAGTCCCCCTTAAGTACATGGAATATGGCTTTGGGTATATTATAATAAGATCCCCCTCTACCCCATATTCTATCTACTTAAGGGGGGTATATGTGATAGCTTCATGAACTACCAATCAGTAGTATGAAGAGCATCAGAGTTTCTGAGAGGTGCGATTGAGGTTGTTCGAAGTCAGAGTTGGACAGGCACAGAGGGAAGGCAGCGGCCTCAAGCGCCATAGACATATGCCTTGAGGCCACAAGAGTTCTCATGTGATGCTGCCAGCTGGCAGTTTCGCAAAATATTTCATCGCAAGCCTTGAAGATGTCTTGCAAAAGTCGGTACAGTAGCAAGGATCCAGCTCCTGGGGCACTGTGAACAACATGTAGCCCTCAGCTATGCGTCTATACAACTTCCCTGTGAGCGACGTGTTATGGAGGAAATGGACACGACTCAAGCTTGCAAAGAACCCGAAACCTCTACGTTCGAAACCCTAAACACTGTACTGTACATGTCTGGATTTCTGTATGCTTCACACAAAGCTCGCTGTTTGTCGTTTCTGCCCAAGTCTTCCAGCATGCTTAGGAAACGGACGCCAGCATGTTCACAGCAAAACCTATAACTCTACGGTGCTCCACACAAAGCACTCACTACTTTGAACCCTGCACCTGAAATCTCACACAAAAGGCCCCGAAACCCTGAGAAGCAACGGCGTCTTCAGGGCGACCCTAATTCCGGCATCTTACCCTTGGTCCCAAGCCCCTACCCAGCCAAACCCACATGCAAAAGTCCTGCATGGATCTCTCGAACTCCAACCCCTTTCCTTCTGGGCTAGGGCTTCTACCCAAAATGTAGCCCTTAATAATTCCTCAGTATGGACTGCCAAAGTGTTTTGATGCCTGTCTTACCTTCTCCGCAGGAGCTTAACCCACATTCATTCCTACTCCTCCTCTCTAGGTCGAACCCATCCGTCCAATCCCCTCCGCAGGACTTTCTCCGCCAAATCTTACACTGCAGAAAAGCCTAAAACCCAAAACCAACACCCTCTAAACCCTGAACCCATAAACACCTAAACCCCCTGAACCCCAAGCCACCTAAAACCCTGACCCCTAAACCCTGAACCCCTAAACCCTAAGCCCCTAAACCCTAAGCCCTACATTCTTTCCGGGAATGAATGTGGCAACTCCTGGGCCTCGCCTCTTTGGCACTTGGCGCTGAGCAACGGCCCAGCGCCATCTCAGCGGTGCCTCCCTCAGTGCCGTCAGACACAGGTAATCGTTTTGTATGGGCCTAGAGCCAAACCCTATAAACCCTAAAGTAGAGCTACTGTCAATGTTAGACTTACTAAAGGACCATTAACAGTGGACATAGGGTCCCTCTGGTTCCTTATATAGTCCGTAATAAGGAACCCATGCCCAATAAATTCTTCAGGAAATATCGACTGTAGCTCATATAGATATATGGTACTGACGGGATGGGGAGGTGGAGGGGTTGTTGTTAGGTGGGCGGGGCTCCAAACCCTTCCTAGACTGAATTGCACAGTGCGACCTTTGGGCATAGCTTTCTTGAGGTGCACTTTCGGGAATGTATTATTTTGGGATTCATTTTTGGGGACGCATTTTCTGGGATGCATGTTTGTA